AATGGCACAAATAATACTAATAGGCTTCTACATGACATAAATGTGGCCAAAAGTCATTTGGATAGAAAAGTAACCTCTCCCAGTATGTCGCCCAAACCTTTTCCTCTCCCAAGATTACGAATCATCTCTCCCAACCTTCCCAAAGATGACTGTACACTCTCTCAACCTTCAATCAGGCCTCCAACGACAAAGCCTCTACTGCCACAGCTCTCCGCCGCTCCACCGCTCCACAACCGTTCTCTTCTTCTTCTTCTCATTTCTTTATGGCCGATGGTCGATTGCCGCACCTTGGCTAGCCTCTCCGTCGTCCTAGATGGCCGCCGGTGATGGATTCCCTGCCTAGATGTATGATGACTCTGATTTAGGGCCGTAGGTTCCGGATCTGCCGTCTTTGATGGACGGCGTTTGCGATTTGTGGTCGCCGGTGTCGGATCTGCCATTTCGATGAACGGCGACTTCGATTTGGGGCCGCCACTATTGGTGGGGTGAGATGAAGGTTCTATGGTGGTAGGGTATGGTGGTGGTATGGCTAAGCTTTCCGGCGATGGGGGAGCAGGGGAGGGGGGCCGGTAGTGGGGATGAGGGCTAGCGAGTTGGTGTGTGGGCTGTCAGTGGTTGTGACGGCTGGGGTTGGGGCTGGGGCGTCGTCGTAAAAAATGACTCGTTACTGTGGTCGGCAGCGATGTAACTGCAGCGGTTGCTGGCGGCGGTGGCGGGTCACCGGAGGTAGTGGCCGGTGGTGGTGGTCGGCGGTGGACGACGGTAGTCACTGTGCCAGCATCATTGTGGCCGCCAATATTTTTGTCTAATAATTTTATTAATTAATATTGGTGGCGGCGTCACTGTGGTGGTGTCATTGTGGTGGCGTCACTGTGGCGGCGTCACTATGATGATGTCACTGTGGCGGTGGCGGTGTAGTTGACGTGAAAATTTTTACTTTGACAATTTTCGGTGACAAGAATAACGAATACAGTGACATAAAATTTTTCAAGTGACATCATGTGTTCTAATTCCAAATATGTGATCTTATTAATCACTTTTTTTGTCAATTTTTAAAAGTACTCACATTTTTGAAAATTCAGTTCAATTTAGTAATATTAAGGGAATAACCCCTAATGTTTATACTAAAAGTGCTGCAAATAAAACACAAAAGTGCAAAATCACTAATAACCAGCTAAAACATGTTACTGCATCTATCCCGTTTAAAGAATTCCATTGTAAAATGACACATTTATTTAGATAATAATTGAATAAGGTTTTTCGAGTATATTTGAGAAATAATTTTAATAGATATAGTATAATATAATGAGAGAATTGATGATAACTGGGATGTTATAGATGTATTTTTTTTAATATTTGATGATTAAATTATCGTTTAAGAGTGTTACTTGTTTTCTAAAATAAAAATGAAAACTTTTATATGGAACATTCAAAAAATAAAATGAGAGCATTAGAATGGAACGGAGAGAATTCATATTAGCTGCTCCATTCGTTTTACAATTTTTTTGTCTACTTTTATTATATGCTCATCCCAAAAACTTTATCGTATTTCATACAGTATATAAAATAAATTTGTGATTTGTATTATTTTTTATTCATCCACATAGATTTTAATAATCGACTTCCAACTTTCTTATTCTATTTACAAACCAAATTTGATAATCTCTATTGGGCATATTTTGTTATTTAATATTCATTTTAATCAGGGGAAATTATAGCCGCCTCTCCCTCTTCTTTTCTTCCTTTAATTCTTTTGGCTTCAATTATGAAAAAGGATTCATTTAATCACTATTTCTAGTTATATATATATATATGTGTGTGTGTGTGTATGTTTATTGTCTAGCGTTTTCTAGAGATATTATTTTTGATGGTAAATTGTGCTAGTAATGAATTTCTAACGGTTCTTCATCAATCATGAATCTGGATTTCTTTTTTGCATCAATATTGAGACCGGTCATCCCCTCGTGAACCATCACCGATCCACGTAGATGGGATTGCACAAATTACTTTCTTTCTGGTGGCTTGTGAAACCAGAACAAATTCTGCATTTGGCTCCTTACCTGTGGCTGGCAAAATCGGGAAATTCAATAGTTCCTTTTTGGTGACTGGTCAAATCGGATCCATTTTGAGTATAATGAGCAGTAACATTGCGTTACTAGTCTACATCGTTGTAGAGTTAGCGAACATGAGCGCCTTTATAGGTCCTTTTGTTCTTTGTCTCACCTCAGTATAGCTTTGAACGCTGTGATTGTAATGTTTCGGCTTTGGATTGTTATGTTTCTTGATACTCTTATCAATAATAATTAAGTTATTTATTTTCAACAAAAATCGTATAACCATTATTAAATGTCTGTTTTAACTGTTATAAAAAATACCCGATGCCAAATCATATTTTTTGAGATTTATGAATACGAGCCATTATTAATACATTTTGTATTCTATAAATTTGCCCCCGCCCAATTGGACAAATCTTTTGTAAATTATGAATTGGGCCCTGCATCAATATATTATTATGACTCTTATCCAACCCATATTAATGTTAGTTATAGAACGCATATCTTGTATCAGTGACCCCATGTTCCAAATTGAAGTTGCAAACTTCATTAGCACATAAATTAATATATTTTTTGAAATTTTCAAATTTCATTGCTTTTGACCGGTATTTACTCGCTGAATATTCGTAACTCAGGGATGGCTGAGCCATAGCAATCTGACTCGGCTCGTTCCTTTTTTCGGTTACTTGCTGAGTGTTTGGTGATTTTCTTAAATCGGTGATAAGTATGACTCGGTGAGTTACTCAGCAACTACTAACTCCTACTAACTTCGATGTCTCGCTAAGTTTGGTACAAGAGGATAATGTTGATATTGAGAAACATGAATTTATATGATTGATGATGAATTGATAAGATAATAATAAAATAACTTATTTAGAATCACGTAAATATTACAAAATTTAGTATGAAAGAGTCTTAATAAGACGGACAAAAAAGAAAAGATGAGATAATCTTAACAGGACGACGGTTGTACCTTTTTGGATTAAATTTGAAAAGTTTAAATTAAAACCAGATACTATAGAATTTACAAATTAAATAATTAGTACGTATTTTAAAATTGGAAAAATGACACTCCATTTTGGACATAATAAAGATTAGCTTCACACTAAATTATTAACAAATTGATTTTCTTGAAAACTTGGAATGTTTATGATTTTTTCTTCGTATTTCATTGTTACGATTATTATTGATTTATTTTGAAATAATTATATATATGACTAAAATAAATGTTATTTACAAAAATATGACTTTCTATGTGTAGTGACTATAATAATAACTTGGTCATAATAATTTATGTTCAATTTTTACACTTAAATAATTATGAAATTATATTATAGTATCTATCAATCTGATTTTTGTAAACAAGTTTAGTTTCAATAATATTTTTAAAAAATCTCTTTTGTTTATATGGATTGCTTTGAATTATAAGCTGCCATAATTAAGTTAACATTATCTCACTACACTTAGAAAGTTACATATTATAAATCATAATTATTTTAATCATATGTAATTATTTCTAAAAACATTCTTAGATAAAGATAATTAAATTTAGGGCTTGTTTGGTAACGGCTGCAATTGCTGGAATGGCTGAAAAGCCTGAAAAGCCTGAATCTATTGAAGTGAACGTGTTTGGTAATATATTGGTTGAAATGACTGATTGAATGTAGAATTTCATAAAGGGCATTAACTTTTGTATGTTAAATATATGGATAGGAACTTTGCTAGCTAGCAAAGTATTTTTGCTTGATTATGTGATTATACAATTACTTAATTTACTAATTTCTTTGGAAATTTTGCTTACTCTTACGCTGAAAATATCAATATTATTTTATCCCTTATACCTATTGTATGAAGGATAAAGAAGTACTCTGTACCGGTGGGCGTAGCTTAACTGGTAGCGAGGGAGTGCCACAAGGGTTAGGTCCCGGGTTCGAATCCCGGCAACTGCGATGAGAGGTTACTATGCTAAAAAATGCATAGGGCCTCTGCAAGTACCGGGGACAAAGCCCCACTCTCTATCTATCAGATTGAGATTATAGTCCAACTTACATCCTCCCAACGTACCGTCCGGTCGAGGTTGGGGGGCCCTCAGGGATGGGGTGTCATCCTTTTTTTGATAAAGAAGTACTCCGTAATTCCATACACCTAACAGTATGATAGGTCTTGGGTTGTTTTTTGGCTGAAAGCCTGAAAATAAGAATCAACCACAACGGTCCATTTTATGGGGGTGTTTGGGATTTTTTTTTTGCATTTTAAGGGTTTTCAAGTCACAAAATGTTCCTCATCCTACCCCCGACCTTACCATCCTCATACAACCAACCACCTGCTATCGGTGGGCGTATGTCGATGTTAAAAAGTTATTACCTTAAAAAATGCACAGTCTTTACTGTTGTTGTTAAAGTCTTGGGTTGTTTTTTTGGCTGAAAGCCTGAAAATAAGAATCAACCACAACGGTCCATTTTATGGGTGTTTGGGATTTTTTTTTTTGCATTTTAAGGGTTTTCAAGTCACAAAATGTTCCTCATCCTACCCCCGACCTTACCATCCTCATACAACCAACCACCTGCTATCGGTGGGCGTATGTCGATGTTAAAAAGTTATTACCTTAAAAAATGCACAGTCTTTACTGTTGTTGTTAAAGTCTTGGGTTGTTTTTTTGGCTGAAAGCCTGAAAATAAGAATCAACCACAACGGTCCATTTTATTGGTGTTTGGGAATTTTTTTTTTTGCATTTTAAGGGTTTTCAAGTCACAAAATGTTCCTCATCCTGCCCCCGACCTTACCATCCTCATACAACCAACCACCTGTTATCGGTGGGCGTATGTCGATGTTAAAAAGTTATTACCTTAAAAAATGCACAGTCTTTACTGTTGTTGTTAAAGTCCAATTTACGTCCTTCCATCTAGCTATATTTTCGGTATTATCCTTTTTTTTCTCATACAAACACCTGCCTGTGGGACCAAATCCTACTACGAAGCGAGCGGGTGGCTCTCAGATTTTCAACTCGCCATGGCAGCTCTCCCTTCATCATCAAACGCCATCATCGCTTCTCGCATTTCGTATTTCTCCACTCCGACTCTGGTAACGCTGTCTTCTGCCGTCCCTTGCATACGCCATCACCTGGGTGTTTTTCCGGAAGGTACTCCGGAATAATTTGCTATGCGGTTCGATTTCTATGTCATTTCAAATTCATGTCTATGTGGGGAAATTAGATAAAAACACTTGTTAATGGAGGAAATAAAAATAATACAAGAACCGTGTAATCACAACATGTTGAAGGGATGTTTATAATCGTCACATATTCCCGGTTCTCGGCGCTGAAGAATGGAATAATCAATTTCACTGTACTCTATTCTAAACTAGCGTTTCCACTCACTATTCTTCTGTCATCTCTAAGCTCTTTGAATCTCGAATTTTTACTGTATTCAAACTATGTCTTAGGCTCTTAGCAGCTCAGTAAAATTTTAATAACACCAAGTAGTTCCCCTATTTGTTGTTTCTTAATCTGTTTCTTGTTTTAAAATGCACTCCGTATTTGTTGTTTGCTATTGCAGTGGACTCATTAGATAGAAAAGTGCCAAATCGGAGTAAAATATCAAAGAGTTATGCTTGCAGTTCCAGGAAAAATCTTTGTTGTGATAATGGAGAAACTTCTGTTCTGAAGGTACTCTTTCATCAGTTTTACTTATTTGGCTACAGCCTAACAATTTCAACACCTTCTTGCAAATGACATGCTTTTATCAAGCTTGTGGCGGGTTATAGTAACATTAAAAAAGTAATTCTAGAACTTTTTTTGTTTTTTGAATCACGTCCTTAACTATATTTGTCTGTGGGCTTTGTTTGTGATGGTGGATGGTATAATAGGAGTAGTGCTACTTCAACAACATCCAAGCCTTATTTCTAAAAAAGGTTAGACCATACGTTCAGGGATCGCATATATGCCCGCGACTTACGTTCCGGATTGCGCGTACCGGATCGCGGTACGTTCGCGATCGGAACGATTGCGAAACGTGTTTTGGGTACGGCGTATCATCGTCGCAGATCGCGTGCTTCTTCCAGCGGAAACGCCGAATCCATTGTGCTGTTCGCCGTTCCATCCAGCGACGAAGCCGCAACTCTTAAGGTACGAAGTTCAAGCGTTGGCGACTGATTTTCGAATTGATTTTTCAAACGCCAAGCGTCGGCGACTGACGAGCTTCACAGGTACGACTATTCATTTGTTTTTTACACTTCAAATTTGAAGCAATCACACCTATTTAAAGGCCTCAGCGTATCACACTCTCTGCACACCTCTCTACTCTATGTTCTCTACTAGCCTCTGCACACCTCTCTACTCTCTGTTCTCTGCTCTCTGTTTTCTATAAAATGGTATTTGGCAAGCGTAAATTGCTAGAAACACAGTCCGATGATATCACAGATATGACCCTGAGTGATGAAGAAATAATAGAAACTGCTCCTACTCCAGTTGCTACAGAAGAGGTCTGCACCGGAAGTCAAAGTTCAAAACAAGACAGAGATGACAGACCTTTATTAGAAGAAGTAACCTTTATTGGAGCTCCAACCTCTAAAAATGCAGGGGGTGCCAAGGTTTGGATATGTAAGCATTGTAATAAAAAATTTACAAGCTCTTACACTAGAATACATGTCCATTTCTTTGGTTCTCAACCGAGGAAGAAGGCTGAAATTAAACGGTGCCTTGCTTTGCTCAACGATCGGGAGAAGTATGAACGCTTGTTGAATAAAGTCAAGGCGGCTGAAAAGGCGGGAGTCTCTCGATCCTTGAAAAACTTTGTGCTCAATAAACCACAAAGTATTCCTTTAAAAAAACCAATTCAAGACTCCTTCGGAATAATGGAGAGAAGTATGGTGGATTTGAAAATCATGAGAGGATTGTGTGCAAACGGTATTCCCTTTAATGTACTTCGCAATCCTCAATTTATAGAAATGGTAAGTGCCATCAACAAGGCACCCGCGGGTTACAAACCTCCATCTAGTGAGAAAGCAAGGACGGTTTTGCTTGATGAATGCGTGTCTAACCGTTAGACACATGAATACATGATACAGGAGTTAAAAACAATAAATAGAGAAAGAGGGAGAGAAGCAATATAAGATCAATCCTCCATTGTGTATGCTTCACAATAAATAGAGAAGAGGAGGAATGCTACTTCAAATTAGTTAAATTAAATCATTAATTTGGTTAATCTTTCTTTTTCGTGTGCTTCAAATGATTTACTTTTCTTTCATTGGCTCATACCTAATGCATTCTTGAGTATCGTAGAATTTCATAGTGTTTACTGCTTTTACCACTGTTATAAACTTTTCTGCTAGTAGTACTCTCTGCCCAATTAATCAGCTAGTTTTGGTGTCTTCATCCTATAGACCAAACAGCCACTTCTTATTATCTTGTGTGCATAACCAGCCACTTTTAAATGAAAAATCATCTAAGAAGAATCATGTACCCCTGTATGTGTATACTTGTATTCTCACTAGGAGTTTTCTTATACATAACCAGAGTAAAGATTTTGCAGTTCCCAGGAGAGGGGCAATCGCCTTGATTTTCTCGAGTTTCTTGCTAAGAAATTCACTAGACACATCACTTGCTCAATCCATTGGGTTTAGGGAGTACATTGATAACTTTAATGGCTATTCATTCATGTATCCTCACAACTGGATTCAAGTAAGAGGTGCTGGTGCTGACATATTCTTCAGGGATCCTTATGTTCTCGATGTGAATCTCTCCTTGGAGATATCCTCTCCTTCCTCCTCCAAGTATCAAAGTGTAGAAGATTTGGGCCCACCCCAAGAAGCTGCAAAGAAAGCACTTCGCCAGTATTTGACAGAGTTCATGTCCACTAGGCTTGGCGTCAGGCGTGAATCAAGCATTCTCTCCTCTTCTTCAAGAGTGGCAGATGACGGGAGGTTGTACTATCAAGTTGAGGTAATATCTTACATAGTTATTCCAAAGTACCCAGCTATTAAACATTTGAAAACCGTATCCCAATGCATTTATTTTGCATCCCAATAAAAAGCTTTCTACTTATGATTCCTTAAATAACACCCTTAGGAGATGTTTACTTCAGTGCTAAAAACACAGTTAGGTTGGTAAGACATGTGAAGTAAACACACATGCTGCTTAAAAAGCTTTTTAATAACCCAAACACATGCTTAAAGTGTCACTTACTAAGCATACCACCCCTCATGTATTAATTAAACATCAATTTAAGTTTTTTCAGTTTCCGCATTTACCCTTACACCTTATAAATATATTCTATAAAATACGCATACATTCATGTGCACACATAAATATAATATTATATATAGAATATTATGTATATATGTATATATTATATTATGCTATGCTATGTTATGTGTATATTATATATACACGTGCATATATGAATGTGTGTGCATATACATGTATAGAGTTATTTTGGGCCATTTTAATGTTAAATGGTATGGAGTATTTTTTATCATGTGCTTATAGCACTGCTTATTTTATGTATTGCTTAGTAACACATGTCTTAATAAGCACCATTTAGTACCCCGTGAAGTAAAAATGTCCTTAGAGTAATCATTAGCATTTTCCATTTTTTATGTTACAAATTTAGCTTTTATACTTATAATTTATATAAATCAGATCCAGATCTTGTCCCGTCCAAAAATGAATATTCAATAGCTTTGACCGTTTTAAAATATTCAAATACGGTCTGGATCCAGGTGGGAATTAATTTTATGCACATAGTCCAATACATATGATGACTCTGTGTCTGAATCGGCTGAGACCTCACCCAATTACAATCTTACCAGCGTAGTAAAAAGTAGGGAGTAACTCCAAGAAGACATTGATATGGTTAGAACATAGCATCTCTAGAGACAGTTTATTGCTTTGAGATTGGAGATTGATATACATGTGTCCATTGTAAACAGTCTAAGCAATACAGTTATATGAAATTAAAAAAGAATGCCCCAATCAAGTAGCATTGTATTTCTGTTAGTGTCAACTGTCAAGAATTGAATCACTGCATGAAATTATGCAATGCATTTTTTCACAATGTCCCAAACAGGTGAATATAAAGTCATATGCCAACAACAATGAGTTGGCTGTGATGCCACAAGATCGAGTGGCTCGCCTGGAATGGGATCGGCGATACCTCTCCGTACTTGGAGTGGAAAACAACAGGTTGTATGAATTGAGAATACAGACTCCTGAAAAGGAATTCTCTGTAGCGGAGAAGGACATTCGCGAAGTCATGAACTCCTTCAGAGTGAATCAGGTGTCAGTTTAATCTTTGTTGTTTTCTGGGTCATGATGTTCTTTTCTCTTCTTCCTATCGTTTATTTGGGTTGCCTTTTGATGAGTCTGGAACTTAGTTTTCTTTTAGTATGCTGTAAAAAGAAGTATATTCTCAAGTTAGTCGGTTCCCTTTAAGCAAAACTTAAAAACTCTGTAATATTTAAGAAAAGAATGACAATATGGAGTATATGACTAAAATAAAGACGATGGATAAAAATGTAACTTTTTATACTTGTGTGACTATAATGTTTTAATTTACATTATAGTGACTATGAGAACTTATGTCACCATTTTAAAAATAAATTAATTAATGTCACTATCCCAAGTTCCCAACTCGGCCTAAACTTTCACAGCAACATTTTATAACCTTTTGGACAATTGGTAATTGATCTATGTCATTATTTGTTTAAATTTGAATTATTCAATTGTAATTATCTAATTAGATTATGTGGATAAGATGTCATAGAATTTGCCTAAATGAGATGATGCAAAAAAAGAACGAAAGAAAGTAATACTATCTTAGTAGTTATGTATGTTTCATACTCAACGATGGTTGTTTAAGAGATGAATAGGGTACTAAACCAAAAAATGTAAATTAAATTGATGAAATATGAAAAGTAATTTGGTATGGATCTCAAACAAAAAAAAATACTAATAAAAGGGTTTACTTAAATACTCCATATATTATTAGGGATTAAAAATATATTTAAAAATTAAAAATAATATTACCCCGTCTTTTTTTATTTAGTCATCTTTGACTTTTTCAATCAAAGATGATAAACTTTGATCTATTATTTTAACTAATATATTTGTATGAAATTTAATAAATTTGTACTTTTATGATAATATATTTTTAACAAAGAACATTTTCATATTATGTTCATATTATCAATAATGCAATACTACATGTATAAATATATAATAGATCAAAGTTTAAAGTCATTGACTTGAAAAATAGTTTTTGGCTAAATAAAAAGGAACAGAGGTAGTAAGATTTTTTCCTTAAATATTACTATGTACTAAATTGTAGGCATGACTATCAATTTATTATGTCATTAACATTTTTATGTCACTAGTCACTACTATTAAAGTGTTACTTTCAGTGTTGGTAACTTACTTAAAGAAATAAGATCTTGGGGATCCATTTCTGACCATCATTGGCAGCAAGATTGTGGTAAGTTACATGTTTTAATAAAAGGCCTTTTGGCCTCGGTATTACTAAAAAGAAGAAAAAAGACAAAAAGTGATATGTTTTATAATTTTCCAAAATTGTGACCAACATCACAATGTGACTAAATGATTTCAGCAACAGTGACTCCAACACAGTGATCATCGCTTTCCAGCATAAATTCAGTGACCACCACCATCCAACATGTGACCACCGCCGACACCACTGTCTTTCTGCCGGTGACCACCACTCCCTAGCACCACCTCTCGTCAGCCTCCACACCATCGTTACTATCCTGACCACTCACTAACCCTGCACCAAGTCCGCATGGAGAGAGCGTGCTGGATGTGCAAGGAGAAGCCAAAGGATTTTTGAATTAATGAGATAAGGTCACTTTATTGGAAAACAAAAAAGAGGTAAATAATTTCCGGGCCATTTTTTCTTTAAAAAATTGTTCGTATTCTGTCTTCCATAATGCAAAGAGGTGATATTTATATCGTTTTTTCTTAAAAATAATAATATGCATGAAGTAATAAAAAAACAATTCAAGTTAAAGGTCGTGTTTGCACATTACTATATTATAATTATAATTAAATGGCATAATGACCCATTGCATGCAAACTTTGTATCCGAGTAAAGGTTGGACCTAATGGTGGACACGGTCCGGTTTTAGGTCGGTTCTGGTCATGAACCAGCGGGTACTTGGAGGGATATGAAAATCGGGATCAAGACTTCTATTTTTGGTTCCGGGTTGGTCTTGTCCCCTTTTTTTTATATGTTTAAACCCTGCATCCTCTATTGTATTGAAATAAAAATGAATTGAAGGTTGGTTGTCCAAAATTCCTTTTTGACGACTAAAGTTGAATATATGTTTTTTCATAATCTACTAATTCAACCACTAATGTAGCTTACAACGTTATCAAATCCAACCATTTGAAGTTCTCAATTATTTTAAGCTTTACTCTGAGTTCAACTCTCAGTTCGCTCAGGTAATATGTAAGATTCTCGCCATTTAGTCTGAAAATATGGTCCAAATCGTTCGAGAAACCTTGAAGCATAACAATATATGGAGGCCAACCGGTCACAATTCCACAACTAAAACATTTCCAGTTTACAAAGCAAGGTTCAAGATAGTTGTAACTAAAAAAAGGAAAAAAAATTGTGGTACCTTTTAGACCGATCACTAAGGGTGTATTGTATGAGGAGTTAGTGACAAAATTTTAAAAGTCAATGAATTTTAAAAATTTAGTTGTATTCAATGTGGATTTTTAAAAGTCTACGAAAGTCTAGATGTATATTCAATGTAGACTTTTAAAAGTCTATAAAAGTTCCGTTCATTCTCATTGATTTCTAAAATCATGGATTCTCGTGAACTTTTAACTCATTTTTAGTACATTAATTCTCTGCAATTGTCTCTTCTCCTCACTAAAGATTTCCGTTGACTTTTCTTGCATCGGTTCTTCATCCCGTCCCACCTCATCACTTCCCCCAACTCTCCTCTTCTTTAGCCAAGTCATCCCTTGATTCCCTTCCTCTTCGATCTTTCTTCTTCTTCAGCCCAGCTCGCCCCACCTCTTCCTTCCGTTCTTTTTCTTCTTCAGCTTGCCCCACCCTGCCCCCTTGATTCCCCCTTGATTCGTTAATCCCATATTGGTTCGATTCTAAAAGTTTCTAGAAGAACTGGTATAAGAATCGATAGTATTATATCAATGCAATTCTAGTACGTCATCACTTAACCATTAAGAAAATAAATATTTCAACTATTACTTTCTTTCATCATTAAATCGCTAACACAAAAATATAATTTCAAATTAATAAATATATAACCGTAAATAAGTATACAAAATTTTACAAGATAGAAATGAAAAGAAAACAATTATTAAGAAGAAAAGTTCGATTGCATTTATGCTTGTACCACATGTAACAATGAGTGTAACGATTAATGTTCTTACTCATTAATAAAATAACCAAAATTCTTGAGCATTCTTGAAACTTTGAGTTTTATTTTAATAAAAATAAATTTGGATTCTTATGCTACATTTATTCTTGTAGAACTTTCTGTTGCTATATGAATTACATTTATTTTATTTATTTGTTTGTTTGTTTGTTTATTTCTTTGTTTATTTATTTATTTGTTTGTTTGTTTGTTTTGTTTCTTATCATACTCCATATTATTCAAAGAAAATTACTCAGGGTAGGACTAAAACATACGGAGTAGCATTCTTCTTAAAGTATGATCATATGTTTGATTTTCCTTAAATAGGACTAAATATTACACATTCACCCCTAATTTAATTAATTAATTAATATAATTAATTGTCCCTAGTTCCCTTGCATTACCAAATCAATTTTGTTTGTGGCGGATTTGTCTGATGAAGACAGCGGGGAAATCCGGTGACGGAGGCTGACGGGCAAATCGATAACGGCAATCTAGGTGAAAATTTTGACGCCCAGCAGTGGCAATCCGCATTTAAAAGTCTATGGACTTTTTGAAAGTCAATAAACTTATCCATAGATTTAAAAGTCCATAGAATTCATTCATAAAAAAGTCTATGGATTTAAAAGTCCATTGACTTTTTTAAAAGTCCACGGATTAAAAAAGGTCCGTCACAATCCATATTCAATACACCCTGTAAATTGCATGTTCCCCTCCATCAATAATGAAATGCACATTATGCACATATAGTAAGAAACAGTACATTGGAGAATTAATTAAAGGCAAAACAGCAGTTTCCTGCTCGGAAACCTTTGAGATCATTTTACTTTTCACTTACAATGCGGTTCAAAAAATGCCACTAAGAATGTGATCATTGGCCAAAGAGACTTGTAAGAATTTCTGGGTTCAGCTTCTGGAGAAATGAAAACTGACTTACTTGTTTAGACATAAGTCCAATCACACGATCCATGTACAACACATAAAGCCCAATCCTGCATTCCAGTAGTTCCAGCCCCTTCCTTGCTCGCAGAACTGACACTACCCATTCTTCAAAAAGCCCTGTAGAGGTCTCACAGCTTAACCCCACAAACAAAACACTCACAAATTCCTAGAGAAAGAGTTTATGGTTTAAGTTGTGCTCCTATGTTACATAAAACAAAGCGCTTGTGTTAAGGAAGCCCGTGAAAGAGCCCTGCTTGGTGTACCCCAATTTGTACCCCAATGTGTACACCGTCTGTGTACACGGACATTTGGACAGAAAGTTCTGCCCTCTTTCAAACGAACTGCCTGTGTACACAGACAATTCAGGGGGGTGGGTACAAATTGGGGTACAACTTGGGGTACCTATAGAATTTTTGCCCGTGAAATATAGTAATAGGCAATGTAGGGAAGAAACATTTGTGCTCCAATGCTACACAAAACAAAAGTGCATAACTACAGATTGATAATTAATTATTCACAATCCATAACTTCTGGGCTATAGCAACGGATCCAAACTTAGAAGTAAAATTTTAAGTAGTTTGTTTTAACGTGTTAGAAAGAAAATCAAGTATAAAGACTTGGCATGGAAAAAACAAAAGCGCACTTATGTCAAAGTCTTCACTGGCTGACCAGGTTAGTAGGTAATCTGACACCAGAAACTCAATGAGCTGGATCCTGCAATCCATGGTGTGCCAAAATATTCAAATAGTAGAAGAATGAAGAATATGTTAATACTTTATCACCCATCTCAAAGCAAATACTGTGAAAAGTATGGAGCAAGTGTTCGTCCAAAAATATTAATTTTGAAGTTTTACCCCAACGGAAATACATAAATCAGTTCACCCTGATGGAATCCCTATTAAAACTAAAGATGTTTAGAGAGAGGTGTGGTATAGATCGGCTCAGACATGTTTACCAAAATCTTGAAATGAACAGAATACCCAAATGCTTCCAGAAAAAACATTTGGGCACCAATCTGAGAAGGAAACTTGCAAGATTGTGCACAGTATAGAGGCTTGAACTACACGACTTATGGATAAATGCAAAAGAGGCTGACGTAATGCTCTACTATTACTAATTTTTTTTTTCATTTTCATTTACCCCAGTGCTGCAAAGGCTCCCACCTACGGTGGGGTAAGGGGGGGTCGGATGTACGCAGTCTTACCCCTGTACTAAAGCACAGAGAGACTGTTTCCGGATGACCCATAGTGAAAATCCCGTCCAAAATTGCATGGACTGACTGCTGCTTCATGACAAAGAAGCGCAAACAGTTTAGTGAGCCATTTTGCTTTATTCCATCATAATCTCAAGCCAAAATATAATGAATCTTTGGCTCCATTGCAAATGATGGAAAATGCTCTACTATTACTAATGTAACAAAAAATATTATTGATGTATTAAAGGAGGGTATAACTATGTGTGGCCGCGTAGGTCATCAACAGCAAAGATATTTGAAGCTTCAAATCTTTCAAACTACAGCACCTCAGCTCTTGACATAAGTAGTTCTTAATTATTATTTAATGATAAAACATTCCCAGTCTCATTGCACCGCAGTACCAATTACCAAACACATCTTCATTCACAATACTTCAAATCAATAATTAACAAATTTTATTCACAGGACATCAGAACACTGTATTTAAAGACTTAAACTTGAGTATTTTATAACGGATTAACTGTAGTGGCCCCAAATCTACAGCTGTAGTTGGATTTAGCTATGAAACGACAAATGTAATTTGCTTATTAGCTGATCCAAACATGTAAAATGGGAGGAATGGAGTATCTATTAAAAAGCAATACTTGTACATTTGAAATAGAAACATAACAAGTATATGACAGAAAAGTGTATCTCTTGACCAAGTTTATCATCATAGTTGTAGAGACAGATGAAAAGAATGAGCAGATTAGCACCCCAATTGGTAACTCAAAGATGGCACTTACAACAGGTACATAGAGTGGTGCATATCTGGAAAGGCATTGTGAAACGGATCCATGAAGAGCAACCCTTCAGCAACTAAAGAAATTCTCTGAGAAGCAGAAAGGAGTATACACTGCCCAATGGAAGAGTCACTTCCAAGTTTTCGCATTAAATGCTGAACGTAGAACCTTACATCAGTCCCTGCTTGATCTTCTGAAACATTATCCAAAAGAACAAAGAAAATACCAAAATTGATTAAGAGGAGTAAATGAAAACCAATAACAATTTATGAGGCTTCAGCTTCCAGCTAATGTATCTTTAGCCATTGAACAATTACTTGATGAAGTCAATACGTATAGCCTTTACAAGCAGGAGGCCAGACAAATCAATGACAACCCTCATTTTAAGTTCAAAATTTGCTAATTCTCATAAAGCTATAAGGGGTAAATACCAAAAACCTTTTAGGCTTTGTTTGTTTGCGAAAATAAGTTCATCATCATCATCACCCCAATGCCGCAAAGGGGGTAGGGGGGGTCGGATGTACACGCTCTTACCCTTGTACTAAAGCACAAAGAGACTGTTTCCGGATGACCCATAGTGAAAATTGCGTCGAAAATTGCATGGACTGTTGCTGCTTCATAACAAAGAAGCGCAGACAATTTATTGAGTCATTTTGCTTTATTCCATCATATTCTCAAGCCAAAAATAGTAAGTCGTTGACTCCATTGCAAAAATAAGTTGCGTGAAATATTTTCTGCGGTATAAGTTTTCTTAAATTTATGTAATATGATACGTAGTACTACCTCCGTCCTGGAATTATCTCCTTATTTGACTGGGCACGGGTTTTAAGATAGTGGGAAATGTGTGGTGGAGAGTTGTGAAGAGGAAAGAGAAATGTGTAAGAATGGTTGTGAACCACAAATTCTTTGCCAAAAAAGGAAAGATGAGATAAATTTGGGACAGACCGAAAAGGAAAGAATGAAGATAATTTCGGGACGGAGGGAGTATTTATTTAACCATTAACGGGAGCAGCTTCTTGACAGGGGGAGTTTTGGCCCTTATACACCCTTGTGGTGGGACCCTTCCCAGGACCCTCGCCTTGCGGGGATGCCTTCCCTTTATGATATTTAACCCATTAAAACCGATAAACAACGCAAGGAAAATACCTTCCTATGTACGAAGGACAGAGTATGTTGATTTCGGCGGGATTTGATAGGAATCAGGTATATTAGGCTAATAATAGGAATAATAATAATTGTACAAGTAGCATAAAAAGAAGGGAAGAGATGAATAAAAGGTAGGCAAGTATTCGGTTGGAATTAGACTGTGTAGAAAGAACTCAAGAAAGTAGAATGTATTTGTTTATTTGTTCTGTATAATTCAAGGAGAAGATTACATGATATATATAGCTAGAGAAAAAGTGAAATAAGGAAGGAATCTCCTCATAAATGCTCAATCGGGTGAGTAATTAGAACTATATGTAATAATCTACAGACCGGGAGATCGAGACTTCTCTAACAGACTCGTTACTTTCTGTATTTTCAGTTGTAAATTCACCATTAATGCATTCTTGAAGTTCTGAAGGATTCTTGAATAGTTTACACTTTCTTTACCAAGTCTTTAGCTATCAGCAAGTGTTCTAACATTGGCATCAGAGCATGTCGATCACTGTGGATGGTCTGTACGCGAGCACAAATGGATTTACTCGTGAATGAACTGGAGAAAAGTATGGCGGCAATCTAGGCGTCACTGGCGAACCTGGAAAGCAGAAATCAGACCCGATCGCAGACATGCAAGAGATTCCGCTAGTCCAGAAGGATTGGAAGGTAATTCTGATTACTCACATTTGCATCAGGAACGGAATCACCACAGGGACCATAGAAGTTATAATCGAACGGGGAGAAAGATAGATTTACCTCTATTCAACTGGGATGATGCTTATGGCTGGTTAGTCAAAATGGATCGATACTTCAGGCTTAATAGTGTTGATGAAGATGATAAATTGAAGTAGCTGTAGTGGCCATGGAGGATCAAGCATTAAGTTGGTTTCAGTGGTGGGAAACTCAAATGAGAGAAAAGAATTGGGAGGCTCCGAAAGAAGCGACGACATGGCATTTCCAACCTAGACGCAGGCCTAAGACAGAAAACCAGGACTCATCGCAGTCGCCAACAACGTCTTTCAGTTCACAGGCTTCATTATCGGTGACCAGTTCACAAAAGACGCAATCGAGGTGTGAAGTTCCAAGTTCGCAATCGTAACTGTTGATTTCAGTTCGCAGCGATCGGCAACAGCTGGTCTCAATCCGCAGGCACCGTCATCCGCAATCAATTCACATCAGAAAGTAATGGAGAGAAGAATCTTCTTGTTCACAAGTTTTGTTGCAAGCCGTTTCTCACTCTGAGCAAGATTGTCCCCAGTCGATAAGGAATACCGCGTTGAAGCAAGATGAATCTGTAATCAAGAAACCAAATCCGGAAGACGAAATTGAGGAGCAATCTACTTTTGCCGATGGACCTGAAGCTGGTGCAGTTGCTGGATTCCTCAGTCGTTCACAGGTTTCCTTGCAGTCAGCATCATCGTTTGTCATTTATCCAAGTTCGCAGATGCGAACCACTTCTCCTAGTTTGCATACTGTGTCGCAATCAGAAGTCTCCAGTTTGCAGTCGCTCGCCTATTCTCACCGTGCGTCAGGTACAGCATCCCTGCAGGTGTCATCTGTTTTAAGCGCCATAAACCTAGTCGAATCAAGAGAGGAATTGCAGGGCACTCCACCATTGGCAATGAACACTGAGTTGAAGCTAGCCGCATCCTCATGGGATACGAGTTATGGTATTATGCAACCTACCACAATAAGATCCGGAAGGTATGGAAAATGTGGATTCAGATTCCAACTCACCTCCAAAAGATGATTTGATTGAAGAAGTAATTCTTACTCATGGACTAGAAAACATGACACATCAAGAAAAGAAGGTAGATGACAGTGGAAGGTGTTGCCTTGAGGTTCCACCTGGTGAGAAGAGTTTATACAATTGCAGCAAGCCCTGAGAATTTTCCAGACTTTTTATTTTCCCCGTTCATGTTGATATGGCAATTCAAGAAAGTCAATTTTAAGGAATGTAATGAATCAGGTGCAAGAGAATATAATTGGGACTGTTGTATGCAAAGAGAAGTGTGGTTCATCTGTTTCTTTTGCTCGCGTGCATCTGGATGGAAAAGGTCCCACTACCCTTGATTCACCTACCAACTTGTGGGTTGGTCCTTTGACAGGAGAGCTCAGAATTACAGATTTTATCACTGAGAAAACAGCGGAAAATTATGTGGAACAATATATTGAAGCCAATGAAAAGGTAAAATTGAAGCAAGGTTTGAAAAGAGCCATGTCTCTTTCTGGTGAAGGAAATGCTTACCTGCAAGAAAACCTATTTGGGAAGTTTTACATGGTTGACAGGTTTTCCGGTTCCATAGTTAGGAGAACTGCCGCTGGTATAGTGTATCTCCTTGCTTGCTTGTTAGAGCCTTTCATGCCTTCCTTCTCATATGAGGTAGGCAAAGAATTGAAAGAGGAAGAAGTTCAAAGGTACAGAGAGAAGTTTGCATCCAGTATAGTATTAGTTTCAGAAGAGAGAAACTATGAGGGGCAGCAGAAAAGTAAAGAAACATTTGTTGTTATTGAGTGCTGGAAAGTTACTGGAGCGAATGAACTTCACTAGATATCTCTTCTGTTTCTGCTGCCGAAACGTCTATGATCTTAAAAGATCTAGTACTGAAGTTCCTAGTCCAGCAAGGGAATAGGAGAGGCGCAAGGGTGAAGAGGAAGCTTGTAGGTTTGAAGAATTAATCTTCCTTTTCTTTTATTGAGCCATCCGGCAATGATATATATACAAGTTTACAATAAACTAAAGTTGTTACAGATCCTAAATATTAGGATCTATCTATTCTTATCTACACTGCGAGCTAATCTAAGAATTAGAGACCTAAATCAACTCTAATTCCTATCTATACAGTTCCGGATGTACACATAATAAAATAACATGTATATGCGACATTTTTCTACACTCCCCCTCAAGTTGGTAAGTATATATCATACATTCCCAACTTGCTTATAAGAAATTCAAACACTGGTTTAAACAGCCCCTTTGTAAAGATATCAGCTGTTTGTTCTTAGTAGATATGAATGGTGTGCACACAATTCCAGCTTCAATCTTCTCTTTGATAAAATGCCTGTCCACCTCAATGTGTTTAGTACGATCATGTAGCACAGGATTGTGAGCAATATTAATGGCTGCTTTATTGTCACAATATAACTTCATAGGTAGGTCCATTTCCATATTCAACTCTGTCATCATTCTCTTGATCCAAAGTAGTTCACAGATTCCATTAGCCATAGATCTAAATTCAGATTCTGCACTACTTCTGGCAACAACATTCTGCTTCTTACTCCTCCAAGTCACCAGATTCCCCCATACATAAGTACAATACCCAGATGTAGACCTTCTATCAGTTATTGAACCAGCATAATCTGCATCTGTAAAGGCTTCTACACTTCTATTGTCACTTCTTTTAAAAAATAATCCTTTCCCTGGACAGCTTTTCAAATATCTTAGGATCCTGTAGGTAGCATCTAGATGTTCCTGGAATGGATTATGCATGAACTGACTAACCATACTGACTGCAAAGGCAATATCTGGCCTTGTATGTGCCAGATAAATCAACCTTCCCACCAATCTTTGATATTGGTGAATATTAACTGGTACTCCTTCCTTGACATTTCCTAACTTTTGATTAGGGTCAATTGGAGTATCTATTGGTCTGCAGGCACTCATACCTGTTTCATGAAGTAGGTCTAGTACATACTTCCTCTGGGATACCACAATTCCCTTCTTTGATCTGGCTATCTCCATGCCAAGAAAATACTTCAATTCTCCCAGGTCTTTGATTTCAAATTCCTGAGCAAGCTTCTTCTTCAGGTCTTCAATCTCTTCACAATAGTTTCCTGTAAGAATTATATCATCAACATAAACAATTAGTACTGCAATTTCTCCCTTAATGGAGAATTTCATGAATAGTGTATGGTCTGCTTGGGCTTGCTTGAATCCCTGCTTCTTTATGAATTGAGTAAACCTTTCAAACCAAGCCCTTGGGGACTGTTTAAGTCCATATAAGGCTTTCTCCAGCTTGCACACCTTTGAGCCATATTGTTCCTCAAACCCAGGAGGGGGCTCATGTATACTTCCTCTTCAAGCTTCCCATTTAGGAAAGCATTCTTCACATCTAACTGTTGAAGAGGCTAGTCTAGGTTAGTAGCTAGAGATAGTAGGATCCTTATAGTATTTAATTTTGAAACTGGAGCAAAAGTTTCTGTATAATCTATGCCATAGGTTTGTGTGTATCCTTTGAGAACCAATCTGGCCTTATATCTTTCAAGTGTACCATCTGCCTTGAATTTAGGGGTAAACACCCATTTGCATCCAACCCTTGGTTTGTTTTTGGGTACCTCTACAGTCTGCCATGTCTGATTCTTTTCAAGGGCATTCATTTCTTCTAAAACAGCCTTCTTCCACTCAGGTATAGATAGGGCTTCCTGTATGGTTAAGGGAATAGAAACAGTGGAAAGGCTAGAGGTAAAGGCTGCAAATGATGTAGATAACTGAGAATAGGACAGATAGTTTGAGATAGGGTATTTAACACATGACCTTTTTTCTTTTCTGAGAGCAATGGGTAGATTTAGATCACTGAAATTATTACCTTTGTCATTTTCTGGCATTGAGTCAGATTCATGGACAGTGGCAGGATCAGGGATGTCCTCTATTCTGTGATTTGGAACTCTCCTTTCATAAACCTTGCCAAAAAACTTACTTGTCTGCTGTTCATCATCTTTCCTTGTTTCAGAAAAAAAAAATTCATTTTCTTTTGACTCTTGATTATTTTCTAGTGCATCTAACTGTCTATTATATTGTGCATCTAGATTAATGTCAAGAGATTCTAGTTTTTCATGGATATGTGACACATTATTACCATCTTCATTAGGAATCTCCCCCTGAAGATGAGTACCAAAAAAGGGTTGATCTTCTACAAAAACAGTGTTCATAGTTATAAACATCTTTTTTGTTATAGGGTCAAAACATTTATAGCCTTTCTGAGTTGAAGATAGTCCTAAGAAAACACATTTTTTCCCTCTAGGGTCAAATTTACTTGCAGTTCTGTCAGGATTGTTAATAAAAACTGTGCACCCAAAATTTTTTATGGGAAGAGAATTAATTAGTCTAGTTTCAGGAAAACTAGCTTGAAGAGTATCAATAGGAGTTTTGAATCCTAGAGTTTTTGATGACATCCTATTAATTAGATAGGTAGCATGTAAAACAGCTTCTCCCCATAAATATTTTGGAATTTAAGCAGAAAACATAATTGCACGAGTGACTTCAAGTAAATGTCTATTTTTCCTCTCAGCTATTCCATTCTGAGCAGGTGTATTTACACAGGAACTTTGATGAATAATCCCTTTTTCAGCAAAAAAATTATTTAACTTCTTAGAAAAGTACTCAAGACCATTATCACTTCTCACAATTTTGATATTAGTGTTGAATTGAGTTTGGATCATTGAGTAAAATTTTTTGAACACTTCTTCAATCTCAGATTTTTCTTTAAGTAAAAACACCCATGTAACCCGTGTGTGATCATCTATGATAGTTACAAACCACCTTTTTCCTTTCAGAGTTGAAACTCTAGATGCACCCCAGATATCACTGTGTACAATAGTAAAAGGACTAGTTGGTTTGTAACTATGAGGGATGTAAGAACTCCTATGATGTTTGGCAAGTGCACACATATCACAATGAAATGATGAAGGATTTTTATTAAGAAATAACTTAGGAAACAACATTTTCAGATAAGAAAAACATGGGTGACCTAATCTATAGTGCATTAAATACACTTCATTATTACAAGGAAAGAAAACAGTTTGCAAACAAGTTTTTTCTTGACCTTGTTTATTCAATTGTGTTCCTTCATCAAAAGTATAGAGGCCATCCTCCTCTCTAGCACTGCCAATCATCTTCCCTGATGCCAGATCCTGAAAAATGCAATAAGAGGGAAAAAAATTTACACAACACTGAAGATCTTTAGTAATTTTGCTAATAGAGATAAGATTGCAGGAAAGTTTTGGAACATGTAAGACTTTGGAAAGGTTAATGGATGAGGAAATTTTAATATTTCCCATCCCTGCTATGGCTGAAAAAGAGCCATCTGCAACTCTAACTTTCTTATCTCCTGCACAAGGTTGATAAGAAGAAAAAAACTTTGGAATGTAGGTCATGTGGTCTTTTACCATTTTGGGCAAAAGAACAGGTAGGGTTTTCTTGGTTGGAGATTTTCTGGGTGGGTATGAATTTGAGTAGGTACTCTATCTGTTCTTGAGTGAATGGTAGCTGTTTAGATTCAACTCCTGCCTCTTGTTGAGTCTCAGTCACAGTAGTTTGTAGGGCCCTTTCTACTTTCTTCTTCCCAGCTCCTGGTGGTTTTCCATGGAGTTTCCAGCATGTATCCCTTGTGTGCCACAGTTTCTTGCAGTGATCACACCAAGGTTTTTTCTTGTTGTCATCACTTCTGGCCACCAAAGCTGAAGATTCCCCAGGTTCCTCATTAGGTACTGGAGTGTTGTACATGACCCTCCTCCTGCTATCTTCCAACCTGATCTCAGAGAAGACCTCTCTGATTGAGGCCAAGGGTTTCTTCCCCAGTATTCTGCCTTTTACTTCATCTAGGTCTCTATTCATTCCTGCTAGGAACATATAGACTCTGTCATTTTCCTCTCTCTTCTTGTGTCTTGCCAGATCCTTGGCACTTTCCCAGTCTTCAGCATCATAGCATTGATCCAATTCTTGCCATAGAGATACCATCTCATTATAGTATGAGATGACATCTCTATTTCCTTGTTTGGACTGCCACAACCTAGTTTTTAATTCATAGATCTGAGAAGAATTCTCAAGATCTGAGTAGGTTTCTTTGATTGAATCCCATACCTCTTTTGCAGTTCTCATGAACATGTGAGGTTTGGCAATTGATGCATCCATTGAACTGAGAAGCCAAGCTGTTACCAAAGAGTTCTCTGACCTCCAGACATTGTAGCCATCTTCACCATTCTTCTTCTCCTCTACTTCACCTGTTATGTATCCCAGTTTTCCTCTTCCATCTATTGCCAGTTTGACAGACTGTGACCACTCTAGGTAGTTGGTTCCATTCAATCTATGTCCAGTAATGAGCATAGATGAATTAACCGAGGCCTGATAATTTGTCATTTGGCTAATTTGGGGGTTAGGATGATGGGTTTGTGAGTGGGTGGAGGAATCAGAGTGTTCAGTGTCCACCATTATGGTGTTTTAAACAACAAAGCTCTGATACCATGTAGGTTTGAAGAATTAATCTTCCTTTTCTTTTATTGAGCCATCCGGCAATGATATATATACAAGTTTACAGATAAACTAAAGTTGTTACAGATCCTAAATATTAGGATCTATCTATTCTTATCTACACTGCGAGCTAATCTAAGAATTAGAGACCTAAATCAACTCTAATTCCTATCTATACAGTTCCGGATGTACACATAATAAAATAACATGTATATGCTACATTTTTCTACAAAGCTGAAGATCATAGTTGTTTCCTATCACCCACCTTGAGGACAAGGTGATTGTCTAAGGGGGGAGATATTATAGGAATCAGGCATATTAGGCTAATGATAGAAGAAGAAATTGTACAGGTAGTATAAATAGAAGGGAAGGGAGGAATAAAAGGTAGGCACGTATTCAGTTGGGATTAGACTGGGAGATTGAGACTTCTCTAACAGTCTCGTTACTTCGTTACTTTCTGTATTTTCAGTTGTATATTCACCATTAATGCATTCTTGAAGTTCTGAAGGATTCTTGAATAGTTTACACTTTCTTTACTATGTCTTTAGCTATCTGGCAGTGTTCCAACAGGATTACAAAGAAACAACTCAAACAAGAACATATTTTATGACATGCGCAGGAAAACCAAGTAGAACTTTCCAAAGATATTTTTACCGTTAAACACAAGGTGCCTTAGTGAATGTTCTGTACCTTCAAAGCATGGGTTATGAGTGTCATTTTCCAAATATTCTACCAAATACTAACTTATGTTACTGGTTTGGTAGAATTGACTATGATAGAAAGATTAACCCAAAACTTGATTTTTCAAGTTAAAATGAAGAAAAACGACACATTCATCCTCATCTTACAGTTACTATATCCTTTAGTTTATTTAAAAATGCTCTGTTAAATATCTTGTAAGATGCGTCTGCTTATTCTGTCTCTAGCCACACACTAAACATGTCATTTTATTTAGTCGTTTTAACAAATTTTATCCTCAGTCCTCACCACATGAGCTCTTAGTTTAGAAAAAGCATACACTTCGAAGTTATGATATGAGATAAGGTTCGTATTAAACATTACTTATCCATGATAAACTTCCTACTAAGCGAAACCCATTATGTTTCTAACTCATATGCTTAATTAACTAGAACTTGAACAAACTTATCGTCAATAACTTGATTTTACAGTGCAAAGATATCCCTCATTTCTTATCAGCTTCATTTTAAAAAAACACCAAAACAACAAGAATACATGATCACATGCGTAAACTCGTCACATTTAACACAACAGTTGAGATAATATAATAAAAAACAATGTCTGGCATGTGTAAACATATACAAAAAGCACAACCAAATGTTTACCATCTCCTTTTGTTGCACTGCACATGATTTTCATTAGGCGCGTAATTAAGCTACTTACAACATCTTCAACAGGAAAATTGACTCCCATTGCCGATGTGGTCTTCACCGCATCTTCAACCAAATAAATGAAAACACATACTTAGTAAAGCTACCCATGAGGGGAAAAAGTACAATTAGAAAGTGGAAGCAATCCCTTAATGAGTAAAGATAGCCATGAGAAAAAAAGTACAATTAGAAAGTGGAAGCAATCCCTTAATGAGTTACATAATACCCAAAATCTTATAGTAAAATATTTTGTTCTTCTCCATTTGCCCCTTAGCAGTAACATGTCATTCCATGAAGATCTCAAACAATGTATGGGTTGAGAACAGTATAAATAGTTATCACTTGACACTGTACAACGAAAAAGTCAGTTTAAGTATTGTTGTAGTGAGTCTTCCTAATATAATTATTGGTGCATATATATCAAATGAATGTGTAATACCAAGAATAAAGTCTACAGCTTGGTGAGACCAGTTTTTGAATTTACACTCATCCAGCTGCAAAAAACAATGATGAAAGAACTAAAACATAAAAAACAGAATGCATTGTTAAAAATTTAGATATCACAAAAGATCATGTAAATTGAGATGAACAACAAACTCTGGCTTGAGAAAGAGCATGGCATGTCTCCACTAGAAAATCAACAGAAGCCCGTAGTTTCTCAATTTCACCATCATTACTATATTCTGCAATAGCAAAAAATAAACCGATGTGTAGATATTAACTTGGGAACAGTATATTCAGTCATTATGAGTAATTGAGTATTGAGATTTTTCTCTGATTTAGCCCTATAACTTTTTGAGCAGCTACTTTCAAATACTCCAGCAATTTACCCTAAGAACAGTATTTTTGAGATCACATAAGGCAGAAGGACTGTTTTAGCAAAAATCCATTATTCTGCAATCAAGACTAGCATCACCATCAACATAAATATACATCCCCTAAAAATGTAAACAGTTACATGTGACTGAATGTGAGTACAAACATTTTCACCTGACACATATTCTCTTCCTTTTGAAGCTTCAGGCAACCTTCTCTTTCTCTCATTTATTCTAACTATACAGACAAAACCACTCAAACTTCCAGCAAACAAAAATTCCAGAAAAACTTCCAGAAAAACTACAATTGTGAGAGGGGAAGGGAAAATCTATTTGAAAACAATACCTTGTCTGAGAAAGCTACGGTGCAAGACGTCACTGAATCTCTGATCATTGTCATCTCCAGTTCTAATAGGATTCAATTGGCCCAAATTATCAAAGAAGTAGCACTTGCACAATGCACCATGCGGAAATATATCCTGCTGCATACCGTCTATGACCCCCCCCCCCCCCCAATAAAAATATGGTTATGCTATGCAATAGGGTATTCGGGAACCCCAAAAAAGGTGGATTACTTCACTGATCCAAGTGGAAAACGAACCCTAGATCAGATGCTTCTTTTAAATTAATTGAAGATACGAAATCTGGAGCCCGTATATTATTATATAATTATGCAATCAAGTTTATAATGAATTTAACTGGCATAATGTTCAAGAGTGATCGAGAAACCAGAGATGGCGAGAGAGAGGGAGAGACAAGCCTTCTGAGACTCTGAGTTCTTCTCTGAGTCTAGCAATTTCTAGCTTGCGTTCCTTGGCCTGAAGCATTTCCGGAGGAATTTAGGATTCGTTCACACAGTTCCACAGAGATTATGAGCGGAAGGTAAGACAGACCTTTCTCTTCCATTTCAGAACGTCTGATAGAGGGGCAGAAGATGAAGACGACTGGGGCGGCTGAGAGTGGTTAGTGTGCGAAAGCTTTAATCGAATAAGCGCCATAGCTACAGCCATTTTCAACGACTCGTTGTTACTCCCATTCGTCGGTTTATTCCCGGTCTCCATGTCTTCGGGTGGAGCTCAGAATTCAGAACTGGGCGGGAGAATCTTCAGTGCAGCTCAGAGAATTCAGAATGGGTGATCTTGTTTGAACTGGTCTGTTCTTGTTTGGTTTCTTTATATTTTTATAAATATCCAAATGTGATCTGATCTGAACTGGTCTAGTCTGGTCTGAAATTACGGTACAAATAAAAATATTCTTAGTTTCCATATCTTTACAGCCTTTGAGCTCAAAATGAATATTCTTGAATTTTACTTGATCACCCCATTAAAATAAAATTTACTCTGCATCATTTTCCAAGCAACCGTGGTATAGGTAACCCATTTTGGGTACTCATACATTTGTGGCATTCAAATGAGGTCACATTTAAAAATGTTGCCCCACTTAAAATGTTGTCTCATTTGTGTCCATAAAAATGAGGTAGGATACATTTAGCAATTTTGTTTCCCAAATACTTAACTAGTGAAAAATAATATAAATATTCAAAACTTTGAATTGTTATCAGACAAATGCTCTAAACATGCATATAGAATTATATATCTCATATTTTATATAAAAAAATATTTTTGTTACTATTATTATATTTTTTACAAATATAAATTTATTGTAATGAGTACATAATTTAAAATACTCTAGCTTTGTTTGGATGCAATTAACATTCTAAAAGTCCGTTTATGAAATAAATAACATTACATCCGGTACTTTTTGATTTTAGTTGCATCCTAATAAGTGTCTTGTGTATCTTAAATTATGTATTTAACAACATAAAATTATATTTGTTAAAAAACATATGATCATGATTCTAACATAACTTTTTATATAAAGATATGAGTGTATATCTACATCTACAGTCTTATAATTGTGAATCAAGGTTAGGGTAGTTTAGGTAGGAAAAAAAATGTTGGTGCAATCATGTTGCTTAATTGAGTTGAACATTCAGCTCTATCACTTGTGCTCCATATTAATAAACTTTATCTTTCCGTTTAATCTCCGTCTCCCACTGTTACCATCTGCTTCTGTTCTGTTTTCTCCTCTGGTACCTTCTCCCCTGTTTTATCCATTTGTACCTTTTGTCCTTTGATTTCTTTTGTAATTAATGGGTCGTTACAGCAACATGTTGGTTAGGGAAAGCCGCTAGAATTGAACCTCACCCCCTTCGAATAAGACAAAACCCAAAACATTGTTTCCTCACTTTCCTTCTTTCCCTTCATCTTCTCGCTCCCTGTTTATGCTCCTGCTTCATCCATTTTATCCGTTCGTACCAAAATATTAGATTACAAGTGACAAACTGACAACTCCCTGAACATATTATAAGTTATCATACAATGTTGCGGTGGGTGCTGAGGAAGGCCGTCGCCACAAGGAGGACAACACAGTGGAGATCCGAAAAAGTAAACGCGAGGAGAGTTTGCTGAAGAAGCGACGTGATGGGCTTCATGGACAACCCTGTTCTACCTCCACCCGCCACGTCCAGTCCATTAGTATTCCCAATTCACTTGGTTATGTTTGGCTTTTCATTTTTGTCTTATTAAATAAAGGGGATGTAGTTTCATGGTTTGTTTGCTAATTAGCCTCATTTTTTATCAATGCTTTTGTTGAACTTACAATCTACTTTTGAACCCGTTGATTGAAAAAAAAAATCAGTGAAATCACTGTTTTTTAGTTAAAATAAAAAGTACATTCCCTTGATTGTTTGGATTGCGCTGCTCAGACTAATCACAGAGTTAGGATTTTGAATATAGATTTTCAATCCCACACATTTTAGTAGCTACTTTGAATGAATGCTCATTTGATGACTATTTGAATTTCAAATATCCCCAAATTGCTCTCAATTGGTATGTTGTATGCATTGCTTTTATTAATCATATGATCATCTCCCTACCTGTATGATTAAACCATGCTTTATGATAAAAAATTTACAAATGACAACCCTTAAAATATGCTTTTACTAATTCATATTTTGAGATCATTTTTTTGACTCCACAGTGTTGTAAAACTTGGACATTGGATATGTTTGATTTGGTATGCTCGTCACTAGCTGCTCATATGTTCAAGATTTGTGTGTTTGGCTATGAATTCACGGATGAGATCATGGCATTAGTATGTCTAGTGCTTTAGCCTAAGTTATTTTATAAAATAAATTTTATTTATTTTTAAGTAATGTTTGAAAAACAGTAAGGAGTAATAGATAGTACCTTTGATGTGGATATGTTTGTTTGTAAATGATAAGAAACACAACTTTCAACAACAACATTACTAAACTGATTGAATACACTAAACTATCTAATATATTTGTTTAAAAACTTTCAAAAAAAAAATTGACATGAACTATCCTGAAGGTCCTTTAGGTACTAAGAAAACACAGGCTGTTATCAAATCGGCAAATCCTTCTATGACAAAAGTATTGTTGGATGCCCCGGAGGACAAGGTGAGGATGAACATGATCTTTTTTGGTTCTAGTTAGAGAAGGGCAAGCCACACGAATGCCCCGTGTGCTCACCGTACGTCGTTTTGGAAGTGGTTGGCCCGGGAGGACCACCAGATGTCCATGGTCATGTAAGGTGCAATTGCTCTCTACCAGAAGACATCTGGTTTGGATTTTGACAGATTAGTTTTCTGCAAAATCTGGATTTAAAAGTTACTGGGGTCAAAAGTTCCAGGAGCTTATACCTTTTTTGCTATATTCCTAAATCATTCCTTACCAGCCAATATCTCATACGAACTTAAAGAGCGAACTGGTTGGTGTGTACTTATCCATTTGGTTTGAATGTCAAATTCCTTAATAAAAACGAGTTATGCTTTCATTGCTTTGGTGCTGTTAATAATCACTTATTCACTTATGTGTCAATATCTTATTGAAGTTAAACCTAGAGATTATATCTCGAGTTCATTTGCTATGTTGTGCATCTCTTTATATAAGCGCTCGTTATAGCATTTCCAGATCTCAGATATTTTTTCCTAACATAAAGTATTGATATATAAAATTTTATGAAATAAATACCTTAATATTTTGAAAAACTACCAAATACAATTCTAATGCCCTCCTGCTGTAGGTAAAAACAGTGTCCATAGCACTAACTAATTTTTATATTCATGACACTTGGTTTGTCTGATTGGAAAGAATGAGTATTGAATAATAGTTGACAATGTTTAAGTAGTTTGTATAATTTTTACATATAATTTTTTCCCTACCTTATGCCTCCCATTTACTACATACTCACATTCCAAGTAGATAAGCATTTGTAGTTGAGTTTTAGTTTTCAATTTAGAATACATCACAATCACTGGCTGGAACATGAAAAATTAGCCAATGTGATAGTAAGTTTTTGTATTATGCGTAACGAAATCGGGAGAAATAAGTTTGATTAGTTTTTTGTATTAAATGGTGTTTGGTACTTTGATTATTGTATTAGAGAGTCCATGTTAGTCTTTTAAAGGATAAAAGACTAACATGACATTGATTATTTTTTAATATATCTTTGAACAACAAAACATGACATTGGAAAGAACATAGACAATTTATGAGGGGTGGATATTTTTCCCTCAATGTTCTTCCACAACCGTTCACTGCATAATTTCTCCCTTTTTTACTTCCCCTGTCTAAAATAATATTCAAGTTTTAAATGCATCGATGAGACCTTGTAGGAAATATGATAAATTATGATTGTGCATTATTGATGCGTGTACATCTTGCTCATTACTGATGGATATCCTCATTTAAGAGTTGAACACAATTTATGCATTTTGTTTACTAAATATATTGGACTAATAATATCCATCCTTTTCGGCTTTGAAGCCCTAACTTCATATTTTATTTATTGTAATTATCATTGTTTTTCTTTTCTTGTTGATACTATATGAAGTGTAAAAGCATAACTACATTTATGTTACACAAAATATATTGGGCATTATCCCGATCGCGCATCGCGCGTTACGAAAACTAGTATTACATGTGCAAGTTTGGGACACCTAAATCACACCCTACATGAGTGCCTATATGGTACATCCGGGTGTATGTACACCCGGCCCAACCAAGGTAGACATCCCAAAAACTAATACAGACCAAAAATAATTCGGTGACATTTTTGTAATTTAAGCGAAAAATCATGTCTTCTGATAAATGAGCAATAGTGTACTTTTAATGAGCATCACATCTATTTTATTGAGTATTTAAGAGACTAACAATGAGTATCATGATCCTTACTTCATATCTTCTCATTCTTTTTTCTTTTTCTTATTTTTTCTTTTATATAAACTTATTATATTATATCTATAATACACTCCTATTAATTTTAATATCCGAGTCTAATGTAATATGATACTTTTGAAATTTGAAATATGCATTCATATAACAATTCAAAAATGAGCATAACATCGGTACCAAATGAGCATGCATAACTTACAAAGTACACATTGATATGAAAATTATAAGGTTTGTTAGTTGAACATCATGACATTTTAATTGAGCTTCAAACATCCGCTATATATTGAGATGAAAAACATGGTTTCTTGTGCATGAGCATTTATGAACTTTTAATGAGCATCAGACCTATTAAAATGAGCATAAGATCAGTACCAGATGAGCATATGTAACTTACAAAATGAGATTTAATGAATTTGTTAGTTGTTTTGTTAGTTGAACATCAGGATATTTTCATTGAGCATCAAACCCCCTCTATTGAAATCGATGAAAATCAAGAGTTCTGTTAAATGAGCATTAATTAATATTTAATGAGCATCAAACCTATACAAATGAGCATATGTATCATGTTTTGTGGTCTCGTGTCTATAATCAACTTCTATGTAAATATAATGTAATATGAGACTTTTGAAATATGCATTAATATAACATTTTAAAGTGAGCATAACAGAGGTACTAAATGGACATACATAACGTACAAAATGAGTTTTCAAAAATTCAAAAGCTTATTTGTGCATGTTCATTTCTTTTAAGCGTTATATCCGTTTAACTTTAACATAATACTCATTTCTTTAATATGCACATATAATAGATTTATTATTAAGAATTGACTAAACTATTATTCCGGTATATAAAAATGAGAAATATAATAATTTTT